GGTTGGAAGGGACTTAAATCCCAACCAGTGCCACCCCTGCCATGGCAGGGACACCTCCCACTGTCCCAGGCTGCTCCCAGCCCTGTCCCACCTGGCCTTGGGCACTCCCAGAGATCCAGGGGCAGCCACAGCTTCTCTGGGCAGCTGTGCCAGGGACTCTCCACCCTCTCAGGGAAGGATTTCACCCATTCCGGGGACCTGTGTGAATTTTAAGGATGGAGCAGCCCAATTTGATTCACTTCCCCTGCCTTCTCTCCCTGAGTCAGTAAGAGCAGCCAACCTTCAGTACATTTTTTTGGCTGTAGTCACAATTCACCAGTCTGGAAGGCAAGTGTGGGGCAGGTGGTTCTTGTGATTATTTTTATTTATTTTTTTTTAAGAAAGGGTGGGGATATCATGTTGGGAAAAATTTGATATGGCCAAAAGTGAAACTGAGAAATAGTTCCATGAGCCCTTTCCACTTGTGTATCTTCTCTTTCTTGTGGGTTTTCTCCAGCTTCCTTCCACTGAGTGTTGAAAACTCCTTAGGGAAGCTGAGTGGAATTGTCCTTGAAAGCCTTAGTTTGAGTGTGTTGGTTTTCACTCAATATTTGGATTTTTATGGTTTTCTCAGTGCCCTGCATTACTTGATAATTAATCCACTGTTTTAAGGGGACACCTTGTGCAAGAGGAAACAGCTCCGATTCCTGACTAGATTAAGTATCAAATCAGTAGAAAAATGCGTATTATCATCTTTGCTAATCACTGAAACGCGTGTTTTCCAAAATAAATCCAGAGTGAAGCCATGGGTTTCAGCTCTCAAGGGTGGGAATTCTTGTGGAGCACACACTGATTTCCTGCTCTGTATGTGACTCCTTATTTCACTTGTCCTCTTTCCACCTCAGAGCAGAGGGAGAGGGAAGAAAGGGAAACAGGTCTGTAGGATTGAAAGGGTTAACTGCACAAGAGAACAAAAGCTGGTGCTTGAGTTTACACTTCTGCTCTTGGGAATCTTCTCTAAAAAAAGTGTCTGTGTGCAGAGAGGGAGGAGATGGGGCTGAGGCTTTCCAAGACAGGGAGGCTTCTGACCAAATTAGCTTTTGAGCTTCCTGACACTTTTTTTCAGGAAGTGCTGTCAAGAGGTGTTACTCACTGTGCTTGAGACTTTGCAAGATGAGTCTGCACATTTCCAACTATACTTCTGTACTCTTAGCTTCTGAATCTCACTATTAAAGATAAAAAAGTATTTTTTTTTTAATTTCCCAATTGGAATATAACGTTTAACAAGTGAAGTATTTAGACTTCAGTACATTTTAATTGTTTTCTTTGCTTTAATTCTGTTCTTGATGCAGGTGGATTGGAAGGCTGACTCGAGGTTGGCCTAGAAATAACTTATTTTGAGTTGGAAAAACTGTTGATAAATTTACTTTTCTGTTCCATCATACTTGTATGGAGGGCTGTGAGGTTAAAGCAGTGAAACAACCTAAAGAGGAGTAACTTTGCTAATTTGGTGTAGTTTTAAGGAATGAAGATGGGAGCAGGTAAATTGAATCCTAAAGCTTTGTTGTCTAGAGATTTGCACCCAATATGGAGTTGCTCACTGGAGTTTGATATTTAAGGTGAACATTTCAGTGTCAAGATGGTGTTCAGCCATGAGCATCTCCAACCATGCTCAACCAAAAAACTTGCAGTTATATAAAGTTTGATAAACTCTGTTTCTTAGAGATTACTTGAGGGGTGGCAACAAGAGACTTAAAGGTTAAGAAAAACCCAACCTGGTCTGTAGGGTCCAGGTGCTCTGGTTTGTGGGATAAAAGGAATTAGGAGCAGTGAGGGGCTGGAATGAGATGGTTTGGGTTGAAATCATTCTGTGATTGCATGATATTGGTGAAAAATATGTAAAAAGTACCATTTAGTATTATCAGTGCTTGCCTTAAAACTTAACAAAAATAACTTCAGGATAATAGGATCAATACCTGTTGATTTATTACTGTTGTTGGACTCTGTTTTTGAGTGAAGAAACTCCCAGACAGAAAGTGGAGGGAGAACATGAGATCTGTGGGATTTCAGGGATGGAGGGAATGGCAGTGAAGGTACCTTGCTCTCAGCTGGGCTTGGAGTCTGGCTCTGAGTGTCTGCAACCAAAACTAAGTATTTTACATACCAGGCTTGTAGGGATAGTTGGGTGTTTTTCCCTCCTGAGGAAAAATGGAAGGAAGGATTGTGGTGTCTCAGAAGGGAGCAGTCCAGAGAGCAATTCTGGTTTAATGTGTAAATGTACCAGGATTGCAGGAATTTTTGGGTTATTTTCCCTCCTGAATTAAAATGGAAGGAAGGATTGTGGTGTCTCAGAAGGGGTTCAGAGCACAGTTCTGGTTTAATGTGTAAATGTGCTCAGGCAGCAGTGTTGCACACACTAAACATTTACATCTCTCCAATGCTGTTGGTTGAAGAAATAACCCTGTCTAAGCTGTGTTTGTTTGAAATTTTGTCTTCATACTGGAGAGAAAGGTCTGGATGTGCTTTTTAAGGAATTAATGGGTAATCACTCTTTGTCAGGGGCTCCTTTTTATTCCCATGGCAGCATGTTCTGTTTGCTGTCATCACTGCTTCTCTAATGCTCTGTTATTTTGTGTAAGACCTTTGGATCTGCCCTACTGCAGAACGAAGTTTGAGCTTAAAAAATACTGTGTGTCTTTCAAAACCATAAGAAAAAACTGAAAACTAGACCAAAAGTTGTACTGGTTATAAATTGATCTGTAAAGCACTTCAGGTTTAATAAATCCATTTAATTAGCCCAGCTTTCATATAAAAAACTTCAGAGTTTGTTTAAAGAGAATTGTTTCAGGAGTTAAAGTTTAAAGTTTCCTGCACTTGATGCTGAGCAGAAAGATTTGAGGTTTTTGTTCCTAATTTTAAAATTTACTTACTTTATCTGTCTATTTTGGAGCTCTGCTGTTTGAGGTGTGACAGCAGCACTGCTGAAAGCTGAAATCTCTGTTTGAAAGCTGTGTTCTGCTCGAAGGCTTTTTATAGTGAAATGAGTACTAACACCTATTGTCAGCCTTCCTTGGGAACTCTGTGTGTGCTTACTACAGTGTTAAAACAGCTGAGGACCTGAATTACTCATCTCAATTACTCTTTCATGGGCTGCAGAAGCAAAAGGTGTTCTGAATTTGGGACAGATCAAGCCCTTCCTTACAGCAGTGGTGTGCTGTGGACTGTTGGTACACAGCTCCAGGGACAGCAGTTGAAAGCAGCCCAGTAATGAAACCATTTTTGTGTAGTTGAATTACTCAGCACTGCCAAGCTCTCCAAGACACGTTTTAATGGTGGAGTGACAGATTTACTCAGTGTGGAGTAACTCAGGCAGATCACAGCAGCTATTGGATTGCATGCTTGTCTTAATTCTAATAGCACTCACTTGGGAGCCTGATTGATTTAATGTTGCTTCATCTTCTTTAGGAGATTCCCAGAGCTGCTCTGATTGTGCAGGAGCTGCATTAATTGCATTTCTGTGAATCTTAACGTTTAAAAGGGGATCATTTATTAAATATCATTTACATATTTTAAAAAGGTTTTCTTTTCACTCCCCCTTTTTTAAAATACTATTCTGTAGAATTAAAGAGGAAGAACTCTTGTTCTTGAGAGAATTTCCAAGTGGGTAGCAGAGTGTGTGAGTGCCAGACTGCCGTGTGTGCCAGGCTGCAGTGCCAGCCAGGCGCTGGAATTGGCACCTTCCCATTCCTGGTGTTGATCCTGGCCCCTTGGGAGTGTTAACCGTGGGGAGGGGCACCCTAAGAAAGCCAAAGGGAGGAGCACAGAGCCGCAAACCCTTTGTGTGTGTGTGTGTGTTTCTTCCTGCTCTACCAAGTGCTTTTCTCAGCAGTTGGGTGTGTGGGAATGGCTGAGAGAAAACCTGCAGCCCCTGGAACAGGCAAAGTAAGGTCCCATGGATCTGTGACAGCACTGAGTTTGGGTTTCCAGCTGATATTCTGCACACCTTCCCCACTCCCCAAATCTGGGAAACTTTGGGGAAGAACAGCAGAAGCAGAATGAAACCTTCACTCTTGGTTCCACCAGCGGTTCATCTGCTGGGAGTCTACGCTTTGCTTGGTTTATATTGGATTAGGAGAACTTGGTACTTTACTTTTCCCAATGGCTGTGTGGATCTGAGATCCTGTCCTGCTGAGGAATGTCACTCCCCTGGACAAACAGGAGGCAGAGTAACCTTGGTGTCTTAGCCTGAGACATTTTTCTAGTGGATTAAATTTTAACATGCAATGCCTTTCAAGAGGGAAGTTACAGCTTAGCTCTGACTTGGAACAGTAGATGGTTGTCACTGAGTTAACTAATAAATTAACTAATAAAATTATGTGGGGAAAAAAAAATCTTTGTGAGCTGCTACATTTGTTGTGATCTCTATTTCACCTGAAGTGATTCTGTGGAATTTGTGACTTTTGTCCCATAAGAATAAAATGAAGTGATACCTGTTTGGGGAGTCCTTGCTTTTCAGGTGTTATTCTGTGAGAACTCTTCTTCCTGTTGCTCTTAACTTGCTAAACTTCTAAAAGCAGGCCAGTAAGGATTGCTGGGAAGACAGGAATGATGAAATTTGCTATTCTTTTGACTTAAAAGGCCTGATCTTGCATACATTTTCTTTCTGACAGGTTTGGGTGGGTTTGGCTTTCCCCAGCCCTAATTTTCTGCTGAGGTTATTTTGTGAAGTTTGAATGTTTGTCTTTTTCCCAGTCTGGTGGAAGGTGTGGGCTGTGTCTGAACAAAGGATTCTCTTCATCTGTTTGTAGTTCATTCACTGCAGTTTTAAGATTGCCATCAGTTAGGAACCCTAAAAAGTTGGAGACACACATCCTAAGAAGAAGCATCCTGCTGGCCTCTAAAACCCAGCAAAGCCTCCACTCTGTTACCCTGTAGGAAAACAGTGGGAGAAAAGGCTGACTGTCTTTATATGCACTTTGTACACTGATACCTAAATCAACTCTCCCATTTTCCCCTTGCAGGAACATCATTTGCAACGGGCCATCTCAGCGCAGCAAGTTTTCAGAGAAAAGAAGGAGAGCATGGTTATCCCAGTCCCTGAAGCAGAGAGCAATGTCAACTACTACAATCGTTTGTACAAAGGAGAGTTCAAGCAACCAAAGCAGTTCATTCACATCCAACGTGAGTTAAAAACATTGGGAGTGTTGTGGGTTGTGGTGTCTGTCCAACTCCTTATTTAACCTGAGGAACCTCTGTCTTGAGGTCAGAGTTGCTGCAGTGGTCAGGAAGTGGGAGGACTCAGAAATCCATTTATATATGTAAATTCCAGCATCTTCTCAAGTTCTGGAAGAACTGACAGTTGCTGGTGAAGGTGGGCATTTTGCTGCAGGGTTTGTTTCTGGCTCTGTGCTGATGCTCTGTCCATGTGCAGCAGCTGCTGAGCCTCATCCTGGCTCTTGGCTTTCCAATATTCTTGATCTAGCCTCACTTCTTGTGTATTTTTTCCTTCCTAGTCCTTAGAAGGAGTAACTGAAGCTGCCTGGCTGCCTCCTGGTTGCTTATACTGATGTAGGGAGCAGGAGAGAGGTTGTCTTGCTCACCTGTTAGCTCCTAAGTTCTCTGTAAGTGCAGATCCATAAACCAGAAGAGTTTTTGTGATGGAATCAGCCTTTGTCCTGCTGCTCAGAATAGAATTCTGACAGAGCAGGGCAGCTGTGCTGCCACTGGGGTTCAGGCTGTTCTGGGTAACAATCACTTCTCTCTGAGTTTGGCTAAAACTGAAGAATTCTGTTTCAGCAGAGAGCTCTGAGTTTATTCTATAGATAAAATATTCTGCATGAGTTTAGCTTATGTATTACAAGATATCATTAATGTAAGCTTGTGGGCTGTGAATTAATTTTCCCACTTCTTTTGGTTGATGTTCTGTTGACAAGTGGCACTTTCACAGTTCAGTTGTTCCTTGGCACACAGTTCATGTTTGTCCTTTGCAGGATGTGGTTCAGGGGGTTATTTGGTCACTTGGATTCCTCCCAGGACTTACCTTTATAGCAAAACCTTTGGTTCAATTATTGCATCATTTCTCACCAGTGTGGTGAAGTTGGTCCAGTTTTTTTCCATTTGTTTACAAAATGGGAGATTTTGGAAATAATCAGGGTCCTCTGTGGTGCAAGAACATAGAGGTGATGAGGGAAAAATCAACTAAAAGGAATTGTTTCTTTCCTTAATAGAAGAAACAAATTTGGAAACAAGGCAGTCTGAATGAACTGAAACCAAGCTGCTGATGGAGGAGTGTATTTTATTCTGTTCTTTGTTGGACACTGCCAGAAACACTGTGAATACTGTTAATAAACATGTCTAAAAATGTTAAATATATTATGCCAAAATTTTCTTTGTCTTGTTGAGCCTCACAGTCTTTCTGGACAGAATTACAGAAGGTATTTGAGCTGAAGATAAATACCAGATACTGCTCCAAGATAATTTTTCCCACATATTCTGGATGGAGTAGGTGTGATAAAAGGCAGCTTTATGCTACATAAGCTGCTTAGAAATTCTCTTTCAATGCTTAAAGCACAAACAGCAACAATACTTTGACCAGGGAAGTTATGTAAACTGATGGAGAATGCCAGGAGGACACATACTATAAGCCATACTTACTGGTGGTTATTTCTGGCAAATTATGTTTTACTGAGATTCTGGTAGCCTGAAATTTTAATAATTTTTACATTAATTTATTTAGATCACTGGTTCCAAGCAGAGAAAAGTTAATTTCTTTGTAAAGCCTGGAATTTGTGAATAAACAAGGCTCCAGGTGTTACTCAACCTCAGTGGCACCAACACAGGTGATGTGGAGCTGAATGCAAAGAAAAAAACTTGAACTATTCTAATTATTCCACCATGCTGCATAATTTCCCAAAAATATTTGTAGCTTTAATAACATGGAAATGCATTTTAAATTATTGATAATTAGCAAAGAGATGAAGTTGGTGAACTTGGACCTAAATTAGAGCTTAGGGGATGGAAGACAAGTGTCCCCTCACAGGAACGATGGAACAGTGTTCATTAAGTGGAGAATGGACTCCAGGAATCGTTAAAAGGAACTTTTTGGCCGAAAGTTTCTTTCATTTTTTGGTTGGGTGACCCTCCGTATTTATCAGTTTGCTGCCTTGACTCAGGCCTGGTTGTTGCTGTTGGCACAAAAGGGTGACAGGGCTGTGGTTTGCTGGGGAGGGAAGGCACTGGAAGCACTGGGTTCAGTGGGAACTCCTGCCTGTGGCAGCTTCAATGAGTGTGGAACCACAGCCTTTATTTAGTTAACTAAATTAACTCATTTCATTTAGCTTAGTTAAACCCAGTTCAGTGTAACTTCCCTGAGAAACAAATTGCATTTGTGTGAATTGGTATAAACCCAGTTCCTAGGGGAGCTCAAGTGAACAAGAAGGCAAATCCTTCTGGCAGGTACTGCTGGGGGTGGGTGGAGTGGCAGAGGGTGGGAGCTGGGATGTTGTGTCTGCAGCAGCAAACCAGAGAGTCCTGAGCATTCCTGGAGAAACTTTCCAGGTGGGATCACTGGGGCCTGTCTGACAGTGCCCTGTAGTAATGCAGATGTTCTGGAAGAGAAAGACTGGATTTATCCTGAGTCAGAAGAATGTCCCAGGATTTAGCAGGAGCTGTCCCTGTGGACTGGAACATGGGGCTGGTTCTCCAGCAGCTCACCCAGCTGCCATGGCAGAGGCAGGAACAGGGAGTGATGGATGATTCCATCCATGGCACATAAACACCTGGGTCTTGTGATGGCTTTGGATGCCAGAGAGCTGCCACCAGGCCAGCTCCAGGGTGAAAAATGGCCTTTTCTAGAACAATTTCAGTTCCTCAGTGCTTGGGGAAAGAAGAAAACTGGTAATTAAGGATGTTGCTGAAAGTGTGTTTTGAGGAGGGTCATTGAACATCGGGGAGGAGGACACTTCCATGGGACAAGCCAGCTTTAGGTTGATGAACTCCAGAGAAGTGGTAGCCTTGCATTTCCTGAGGCCCTCACACCTCCCCAGGCTGCTGAGGGTTTGTGGCCATCCTGTCTGCACTGAAACAGGCTCTGCTTCATCCCTTCAGTGTCATTAACCTGCACCCCCATGCAAACCCCCTCTGCACTGATAAATACAGCTCACAACAAATAGAACATTGCTGAAGGCAGAAAAGCATGAAAAGTGGGATGTGTGACAAGGGCTCCTGCTGTTCTCACAGGAATGATGGGGGTTTGTTTAAGAAAATGAGACTGGATTTGTTTGATGTGTGGGGATCCTGGCAAGAACCTGTTGGATGCCTTTTATCATCTTGAATATTTATCAAAATAGTGAGCAGAGAGAGGGAAGGGACCCCCTGCTTCCAGCTGAGGTGCACCATGGGGCCACTCTTGGTGCTGGGAGTAACCTGCCTTCCCTCCTGGACACCCATCACTGATATCCAGTGTGGTCCTGAGGGTGATTGGTGTTTTAAGATACTTCTTGATGGAATGGTTGGGTTTTCTTTTTGCTTGTCTCGTCATCTCCTGGCTGCCTCTCACTTGATCCTGATCTTATTCTGGAAGGTGGGTACTTCAAGACCTTTTAGAGACTCTTCTTTTCCCACTGTGGAAATGAAGGGAAGTTTACTGGCACCGCTTACAGTTTACAGGTGAACAGTATCACATCTTCTCTGTCACAGATCGTCCTGTTCACTGATGCTCTGGCTTGGAAAAACTGGCTGGAAACATTTTGTCCAGAGGGGATTATTGAATTATCTACTGACAAGCAATAGGTTGACATATTTTCTGATGTGACACCGACTGTGAGAGCAAACAAGATTTTTGTGGACTGGAATGGTTTTCAGTCAACATGTGAGCTGTGATCTGCTGGAGAGGCAGAGCTGATGTTGAAAGCTGCAGTTTAAGTCTCATACACAGTTAATTGTTGGAGAGCTCTTGGTCACATGCCCAGTGACAGTGTCTTAAATAAACTTGCCATGCAACTTGTGTTACTGAATTAATATTGCTAGCAGTTCTTGACACATGGTTACAGCCTGTTATTAATATCTCCTCAAATAAATTGTTACAGTGTGTGGCAGGTCAGAGAGCTCTTCTGGCCAAGTGCTGTTGTCAGAATTGGGGCAGTGTCTCCTCTGAGAGGTACCAGCTTGAGCTGAAGATGCTGAGGAGCTGCTTTTTAGCCCTTCCCAGCTGCATCTGGTTGAGTTTCTGTGCTTGAATAAATAAATAGATAAATACTGGTAGAGGTTTAACTAATTTATTGCATTGGATCACAGAGAGAATGGTCTTGGGCAGGGCTGAGATGTGGAAGGGCACTGCTTACCACCTGCCTGTGGGAGGAAAAATACTGTGATTTGTTTTAAAGACTTCTTTTTTGGTGGCTTTCTTCTGCTCCTGGTTTTTCAAGTTTTTGTTTTAAGGAGCTCTCAAAGCACACAGGGCAGCTCAGTAGCAGGAGTTTTTTTAATTAGCATTTGGCATAGCCGCAAGTTAAGAGCACGGAGATAAGATAGTGCTGTTTGTCTATTAAGAATAGAATATATTTCATCAGGCCTATTAACTGCTGTTATTCCAGTGCTGATTGAATTACTGGGAGTGTTGTACCTGGTGTGTCACCCCCTTCAGGGTTTTATTAGGTGTACAATTAATGTTTCTATTAACAGTTCATATGCAATTTACTCATATTTCTTGTAAAATTTCATTTCTGCTGTGTTATCTGGGTGAGAACTTCCTTCTGCTTTTAGTAGGACCAGGAACTTTGTCAAGTATGGAAACTAATTAGCACAATTAGTAATAAAGACATGAGCTTTGCTGAGAAGTTAAGAACTGACTATTTGGAGAGCCTGAAGATACTGTCAGGCTCTGCATCCACAGCAGAGGTGGTTTTAGAGAAAAACAATTCCCATAGGATTGGTGTAGGATTTCTACAGTTACATAAAACAGGAAAAGGTTTAGTCTGATAAATATTTTAACACTTTAGGTTTGGTGTACTGTTTAAAAATAGGCAATAGAAATTACATTGGTACTTGAGTATAAATGCTTTTTTTCCAAGTCTGGAATTTGATTGAAAATGGTCTTAGTTATTATTTTTACCATGATATTCTGAAGGAGCTGTATTATATCAGTACTATCATCTTTGCTCTTGTTTTGCAGAGATACATTAAAGTTTCTGTGCCTATCACCCCTTCAAGTCACTTAAAATGAAACTTCTTGGACTCTTTTTATATTGGAAGTTGGAGACAAGCAGCTTCTACCTGCTGTGTGTTACATGGGGAAACTTTTTAGCATAAAAAAGTGTTCTTGGCAGAGAATTGCTGGTCTGGAATTTTCTCAATCATTTTTGATTTCTGATGGCAGATGTATGTCCACAGTGTGTTACTAACCCAGCATTTCAATTTCTTGTGTTCCAGCCTTTAACCTGGACAATGAACAGCCAGATTATGATATGGACTCTGAGGATGAGACCCTACTGAACAGGCTGAACAGGAAGATGGAAATCAAGCCACTGCAGTTTGAAATAATGGTTGACAGACTCGAAAAAGCCAGTTCTAGTCAGGTATGGTGTGAAGAAATTACTGAGAGGTTTTGCTTTCTGGAGGAGATGGTTCTGGGTGGGTACTTGGTTTTATTTACTCCTAACAGAAGTGTGTTTGTGTGTCTGTTCCACAAAAATCACATTCCTGTCTCCTGTGTCAATACTGGTAACTTCAGATAAAACAGGTGGGGAAGGAGCTTTTGGGGTTGCAGGACTGATTTTAAATTTTAATTCCTGGCCACAAAGTGTTAGAAACACACAGCTTGTTTTACCACTGTTGGTATGGAATAAGCTTGTGGTGATCAGTAGGTGTAGAAATGGCTATAAGCATTTAATAATCCAAATTTTGTTTCACTTGTTTGTGCTGGACATTGGTTAGTTTTAGGGGATTAGAAGCACAGAATTAACCTAGTGCCAGTGTTAAATCAGATCCTGAGGTGTTCCAGGAGGGCAGTGTCTGGAAAAGGATCTTACAGCCCAAAATATTTACTCCAAAACTACACCTGAGGGATCAGGTTTGCAAATCAAGTTTGAGGTGTTATTTCCCAGTGAGATGAGAAATTTTGGGAATGAAAAATCCATTGTGGGATCCATGGCTCTGCCTCAGTTCCTTAACCTGATTTTCAGTGCTGTGTTGAAAGGCCAAAATATTGCATTTTTCCCTGCCTTAGAGCAACTTCAGAAAGGCAGAGATTTCTTACTGTGCTAAGAAAATGGGAACAAAGGGAAAATAAGGAATATATTGGATGATACTTGTTGAACACGTACTTGGGTTTGCTGGAGCTTTGATAAAGAGACCTCTGTTTTGGCTTTCAGTTTCAGGCCATTCTTTTCATGATCATCACTTTTCATGATCAATATTCACCCTTCTGATGGTGGTTTCACCTTTCTTTGCTGGATTTAAGATTTGAAGATGCTTTTCAAAAATAAAATGTTATAAGAATTCAGGTTTTTCTCTGTAAATACAAGCAACTCTTGCAGGTTTTTGGAGCCTGGGAAGTGGCTGGTGGGGTTTGAGTGCTGCCTTCCAATTCCCAGTTTACATGCTTTATCCCTGGAATATTAAAGGATGTTGCTGGGAATGCTTTCCCTGCCCAGGAGGGGTTCCAGGCTTTCCTCTTGGGCATTCTGATTTAAGCAGGGAATAGAAGGACTCTGCGTCTGGAATCAGACACAAGCACACAGGCTCAGCTTTGCTTCCCCAGCTGTGTACCCAAGGCAGAGCGGATTTATTTTTTATTAGAAATATGTTAATGGAAAAGGGGAGCAAAAAACAAACAAAACTAAAATTATTTCTAAGCAGTACTTTTTCCTTTTTTGTAAAAAGCAGTTCAATGCCTTTTCTAATTCTACCATAGATTGCTAAGGTTTTATTCTGCTCTGGCTGGAATTAACACTTGCAGAGTAGCCATGGTTACACTTAGGATTTCCTTCATTTTCCAAAATGTGTTGTTTCCTTTTTTTGCTTCTCCTAAGTAGGGACAAGATTTAAGTTTGACACATTGCAAAAGTGCAAATTAAGTTGTTCACTTGATATTCTTCAAATTATGGGGCAGATGAAGTGCTGCCTGACTTCTTTTTAAGTAATACTAGAGGTACTATTTTCTTCTGATTTAATGAATGGGTTGAAGATGATATGAGCCTGTTAAACTAATGTACTATTTAGTGATACTTCTGCATTTATTTAGACTCTGATTTCCATATAAAAAGCTGAACATAGATGTAATTTTTATCTTTAAATGACCTTTAAACTACCACCTACTGAAATAACTTAGCAAACAAGTGAACAGCTTTGTGTCTTCAGGCTGGAATAAACAGGCATGGGCATTGTCCCGTTCTATCACAAAGTAAACATTTTAGAGGGGAAATAATTAAGAAGCAAATTTGCTTCTAGGGGAATCCACATTCAGCTGCAAAGAATTACACATTAATAAAGGTTAACCAACGAGAAACTTTTTATTTGTTTTGGAAACAATAGTCAGATTAAAGTGATTCCCAAATCATGATCTGCAGACTGTAGTACGTTCTTTCTATCCTGTGCTTGTAGTTGTTTCCAAGTGTTTTCAGATTCCATGAAAGATTGATGGAGTTCTGGACCATTGGATGAAAGAGATGCTGCTGGTTCAGAAAAACTGGGAACTCTTTAATTGGTGGCTTCAATTTCCGTGAATGGTTTTTTCATCCCTTTTCTCTGGTGCTGGAAAATAATGAAGTTTATCCAGAAAGTGCACAATTGGTGTATGTGGTGACCTTCCCCTCACCCCCAACCCAACTTTTCCCTGTTCCCCTGCAGCTTGTGACCCTTCAGGAAGCCAAACTGCTGCTCAATGAGGACGATTACCTGATCAAGGCTGTCTATGACTACTGGGTGAGGAAGCGCAAGAACTGCCGGGGGCCCTCCCTCATCCCCCAGATCAAGCAGGAGAAGAGGGACGGCTCCACCAACAACGACCCCTACGTGGCCTTCCGCAGGAGAACTGAGAAGATGCAGACCAGAAAGGTGACTTGGCAGACTCTGCTGCTTGGAATTTTACATCTCTCCCTTGGTAGGGATAATTTGGATCCCTGTCCAGCATCATGCAGAGGATAATTTACCATCCATCCGTTTCTTGAGCTGAAACTCAGAGCAATGCCTGGCACACAGCTTGCTGGGTTGGGAGCTTTCCTTTCTGTGGGAAAAGGGGAAACAAGTTCCCAGTTTCTGGATTTTTAGATGGAATGATTTGAACCAGGGAATGTGTAATCCCCCAGCATTTTGCTTTGTACACATGTGTGCGGAATCAAGGTGGGGCAAGTATTGTAGGCTTGAATTCCTTGTGCTGACAAACTTCCACTGGGTTGATCTGGAATCTGAACGAAACATGGGGGGAAATGGCTGAAAAGTTCTTCCCAGTTTACTCTGAAAACTGGGTTTGTTTGCCTTTTGTGGCTTTTTGTTTGCCAAGTAGGATCTGCTTTAGGAAAAGCTGCTTTGGAGTGTCCTCATGAGCCTCGTTTGCAGCAGCATTATATAACTTTATTTTTGCAGTTTGTGCCTCATGGCCTTTGCTTTTGACTAAAAATCGGTTTCATCTCTCAACAGAACCGAAAGAACGATGAAGCATCTTATGAGAAGATGTTGAAATTAAGGAGGGAGTTTAGCAGAGCCATAACAATTTTGGAGATGATTAAGAGGAGAGAGAAAACAAAACGGGAGCTGTTGCATTTAACGTTGGAAGTTGTGGAGAAAAGGTAAAATTCCAGATTATAAAACCCAAGGTTTTAAATTTTCATTAAATGGCTTTGAAATCATCTCTCATCATTTATTTATTGTAGCACCATACCAAACTTCAGAATTTAAAAGAGAAGGGGTTTGTGTAGGCCATTGGAAGACACTGGTTTGTGTCTTTCAGACATTTCCCAGTGGAAATGCAGCCCTATAGTTTTAATCCTGGTTTTTTTTGAGGTACCATTTGGGTGATTATGGAGGTGAAATCCTCAATGAAGTGAAGCTAAACAGACCCGAAAAAGAGTTGGGCACAACTCCTTCATCTCTCCACAATGGGAACCACCACAAAGTTCAAGAATGTAAAGTTAAGGTAAGATTTTTTATTTCCCCTGCCACGAGTCTGTTGTTCCTGGGATCATCATTCCTTTGGGATCATCGTCCCTTTGGATGTACTTTGAATTCAGACCTGTCTCGGAAGAAATAACCTGAAATATTAGGAGTTAAAATGCTTGGGGCTGAGGCTGAGAGTTGAAGACCTCTGGAAATTTGTATTTAGCACCTGCGACACCTAGTGGTCCCAGAATTCCATACAAAGCCCTGAAAGCCTGGCTCTCCAGGAATTTTGGCATTCCTCATGTTTCTCCTCTGCTTCCCAAGCTCCATTACTGGAGTTTCAGTCAGGATGTTATTGATGAGTGTTAATTCAGGGTAAATTTAAACATTTTTTCAAACTGCACTGCTGCTTCTCCTTCAAATGGAGAATTTTGCAAGTGAAAGAATCTTTTCAAATGGGAGCTTTGAAGTTTAATAACATTTGTGTTCAAGTGGACAGTTCAATATCGATGGAATTGCTCACTGCAGAGGGTTTTTGTGAGAAAAATCTTAAATAGCCAACCCAAATACCATCACATCTGTTCAAAAGTGTCAGCTCTGTGAGAAACAGGAAACAAATTAAATTGTTTCTTTTGAACATGTCTGAGCAGTTCAGAAAATTGAAAGTGCTGGGGAAAAATGAGATCTCAGAAAATAATTGGAAGAGGAATTTCAATGACAAAATACTGAGTGTAGTGCAGAGTGAGGAGCCTCTCAGGCTCAGACATGGCCTGTGAGCTCTCTGATTATTAATAAATACCTGTAAAAACAATCAAGAGGAAAAGTTCTGGGGTTTAATGTGTTCAGTAAATTTTGCGTGATGCGTCTCAAATCCCTGCAGAACCTTTGGAAGACAAACAGCCCTTTCTTGAAGTCTTTAAGTTTCCTCATGCTTTAGTTTTTAGAATTTCCTGTTTGTTTTTCCTGAGCAGCATCCTCACCACTCCTCTCTGAAGGAGGAGGTGTCCGATGTTGTCCGTCAGAAGAAGAAATACCTGAAGAAGCCCAAGCTGGAGTGTGTGGTGACCCCTCAGCCCCTGGCTGAGCCCTTGCCTGTGCTCAGCAAGAGCGATATCAAACAGTATGACTTCCACAGCTCTGATGAGGATGAGTTCCCACAGGTAAAATCTCAGTGTACACAAGGCAGGAATTCCTGTTAGCTGGTGTTTGGCCAGCCTGGCTCATCCCAGCTCTGAATATATTTAAAAGTGCTTCGGATAAATTGAGTTTTCCTTCCGTGCTGTGCTTTGCTAGTTCATGTTATAGAAACACAAACTTTTATCATAAATACAATTACACAAATGTGGCACTTGGGATAATGACGTTGTTTTCTGGTCTAGGTACCCTCACCAGTGTCAGAAGCAGAAGAAGAAAATGATCCTGATGGACCTTGTGCTTTCAGGAGAAGAGCAGGATGCCAGTATTATGCTGTAAGAATATCCAGTGTTATGCTGGGCTGTTGGGTTCAGTGGTGGTTTCTTTAATTTAGATAGGCATAGTGCTTTGATGCTTTGGTGACTCCAAAGACAATTGCAGGAACATCCCCTTTTCTGCTTGGCTCTGAAGGGTCCAAGCTGAATTCCCACTTGCTCAGAATTCATCCTCCTTTCTTTTTTCCTTTAGCCTGTAAGTTAATTCCTTTGCCAAAAGATGTTGAGATGTTTGGAAACTTCTATTTTCGTTTTCTCCAACTTCTCCATTACTGTTTGAAGCCTAAATGTTAGAGTTTATTTTTTAACTACTGAAGCTATTATTGATTAATCCAACATAAAACCACATGTTCTGTCCTGGAGCCTGTGCATGATAACCAGCAGTGCCCTAATCAAAGTATAAAATTGCCTTTTCTTTCTTCACAGCCTCGTTTGGACCAAACAAATTCTTTGTATGAAAGCCCAGAATTGGCAGAATTGGACAAACTGAGGTTCAGGCATTGCCTTACAACCCTTACAATCCCAAGGAGATGTATAGGATTTGCAAGGAGGAGGATTGGCAGGGGTGGAAGGTACAGTTGGGTTATTTTTAATTCTTCATTCCCCTTCAAGGATTAAAAGTATTAAAAAAAGAGATGATGAACCTAATGATTTTCCTCCTCCTCTCTAATCAGGGTTATCATGGACCGAGTATCCACAGAGCATGATCCTGTCTTGAGGCAGATTGACCCGGAAATGCTGAACAGTTTTTCAAGCTCTTCCCAGACTTTAGACTTTTCTTCTAATTTTTCACGGACCAATGCTTCCAATAAACATTGTGAAAACAGACTGTCCCTTCCTGAAATCCTAAGCAATATCAGATCATGTCGACTGCAGTGTTTCCAGCCCAGGCTACTCAATCTCCAGGACAGTGATAGTGAAGAATGTACCTCAAGGAAAGCAGGGCAGACTGTGAATAATAAAAGAGTCTCTGCAGCATCTGTAGCTTTATTGAACACCAGCAAGAATGGCATATCAGGTAGGCAAGGATTTGGCTTCTTCTGGGATTGAAAATACTGAATTTTGGGGGTTTTCTTTGTGGCTGGACTGATGAGATCTTCAGCACTGGTGTGGAGCTAACCACAGCTGCAGCCTGACTATTTTACATTTCTTAAAACATACAGAAACTTCCCACAAACACTGCTTCCTCCAGCTTTGCTTCTATTAGAATTTGAAGAGCTGGATTCAAATATTATTCAAAGCAGGGATTCTGCTCATATGAAGAGTTGTTTAGGTCTAATTGAGTCTTAATGGCACTAATTGGTCTAACCTTGTTTAAGGCTAGAAGAATGCTCATTATGAATACAAAATAAAGCTGGTGGTTTCTTGGGGAGGGTGGGTGTGGCTCATTTTTGTTGGCAGTTTTCATTTTTGACTCAGACAAATGTAGGAAGTTCCTTAGTGCCCTGAGCAGGCGTGGAAAGGTCTGAAAATGGTAAAAGTGGAAGCATCCAGTGATGAAAAAATTGCTTTAAGCTTAAATTGAGCAGTGTTTGCCTCACTTACTTCATGATCTGGCATTGTAATGGCTCAAGTTTTAACACTGTCACTTCTTTATAATCATAAGGGAGTGAAAATTATATGGTTCTCCAAAAATGTGAAAAATTTGAGATACAGCAAATGAGATCTACAAAAGCAAGTACCTGAGCATGTCCCAACTCCATCCTGTATTGTAAACCAGGATAATTAAATAATAGAACAGACTGACTCTGAATTCCATGATTTCTGTGGCTGTGGAATGTTCCATCTTTATTAAAGTGGCAGGAATGGGTATTTATTCTCCAGTAATGTATCTCTAGAATTCTTGGGTGCTATGAAATTGTTCTGACAGAGGCACAGAATATTTATTCCAGCCCAATTCTTTCCCAGCCTCTCACTATGGTCACTGTAACCTTTAGATTGTTCTCTGCCATGAAAAGATTGGCACAGGAGCATACAGATAAAATGCATTATATATTTTATATAATTATTTTTTGAAAGACCTTGAAGGCCTGAGGTATCCCAGCTGGGGCAGAAAGGGGCAGTTCAGTGTGATGAGATTATCAATAAACACCAAGAGCTGGTAAAGAAATAGCTGAAAAATGAATAAAACCAAATCTGATGGATTGAAGCCACTTTTTGGAGGAATAGTAATCAACTCATGGTATAATTTTAGAAATCATCTGAGGAATACATTTAAATTAAATGGAAATCCCTCAGTAATTGAAGTACATTATGCATGGAATTTATGGCTGGGGAGGACCCTTTTTGTCACAAATGTAAATTACAAGCCAGATCTTGCAGTTCTGGAACAGGATCAGACACAATAGAAAACAGAATTCTTCCCCAAATAACTGAACCAGAAGAGGCACTGCTGTTGGATTTTCTCACTAGCAAATAGGGAATAAATTTTGAAAGGGCTGGTCAGAGTCTGGTTGTGCATTAAATGAGCACAAGCACTGTCACTACATTTATTGAAGTCATTCTCTTTGGGAAGTGGTTGTTGAAATCTGTTAATTTTACAGCTGATTTGCTATTCCCTCCAGAGGAAATGGTGGCAGTACTTAAACTGATTATTTTTCTTTTTATTATTTTATTTTAGATAGAACTGGAGAGTTCCTTTGATTTTTGGTGCACAAGAATATTTAAAATTACTTCTGTTTTATACTTCTCCCTGTATTAGTAAAGCAACTATGATATTTCCACAAATGCATTGTACAGATAGATTTATTTGTTTTTTATTTTAAAAGTCTCTGACTAGACTTTTCTTCATAATACCTAATGAGTGCATGAATCAAGAACCAATTTTTGGAGCTAAATTATTCTCTTGCTCATGTTTTAAGCACTGCAAACAGGAAAAGTCTGTCCCTGGGGAAAGGACAACTGCACACGATGCTATTCCCAGCTGAAGGGTTTTGTTTTTGGAACAAACTTTTATTTTTTAGAGGTATTTTTTTCCCCAGCATTGAAACAATACCACTTTTGGGGCAGCTTGCAAGCTGATCTTTGGTTAAAGCCTCCAGGTCCTGAGAGAAGTGACATAATCCAAACCTTCCAAGGAGAGAGGAGCCTGGAAGTGAAAGCTGAAGTGATTTTTTTCCACTGTTGTGGTGCAGTTTTTCAGGCTCTGGTAAAATAAAAACCCCCTGAACCTGCAGAGCTCTTAACTCTGACCTCAGAGGCTGCCTTGGGGCACGGTCAAAGTTTGTTCTTTTTTTTTTTCTCCAGGACCCTCCAGGTGTTTGATTTGGCAAAAATAAATTATATTTAATGTGCTAATGAACATCTGCTGGTTTGTAACAAGGTGAACAGCTGAGCTCAGCCTGGCCACTGGATAAATACCTGAAATTCAGGCACATCCAGGCAGAGTAAGGGAATATTGAGTTCTGGATTACCTTCCCTGTATCCTGTAATCGAGTATTCCATGACTTTATGGTCTGTGATAAACTGGGAAGGAAAAGGAGATTGAAAGCATGAAATCTTACCTTGTTCTTAAACAGCTTTTGATAAAACACAGCACATTTTCTGGGATTTGTTACCTCAGAACTTAAAAATAGAAATATATGTAATATTCCATAATGCTGTTCTTGGCCCTGTGCTTTCAGCAATGCCATGTGTTTTGGGAGGGAATGTAGCAGGTTGAGTTGATTTAAATTGGAATTAAATTCTAGGTAAGAATCTGCAAGAGGAACAAAGTAAAGCAAATGCAAAATAAACTTAGGTTGGAAATTAAAATATTGCTAGAGTTTGAGGGGTAATTTTTAAGTAATTGGACTTTTAAGTGCTGTCCTAACATGATTGAAACCTGCTTTAGTAATTTAGCAGTAAAGAAGAAGTTTCAGTTCTAATTTCTAATTAAACAGTCCCAATTCTGGTATTTTTTCCCAATGGAATTTCAGGACAACCCTGAGTACTAAAAGTGGTAAATGGAAGAGCCAGTCCCTGCAAGATGGATAACTCTGTTTTAATGTTAGTTCAGTGACCCTTGATAGGAGGATATTCCTGTGAATCCAGGTGTTGGATTGAAGCTGTGCTGCACCTCATGGAAAAACAGAGTTGAGGATAAAGTGTTGAAATGTATTCATGGGAATCTTTGAAAAGTGAATTTTCCCCTTATTTGCTCCCCAGAGAACTCAGTTCTTGGGTTAACTGCACACAACGCAGGTTTTATCTGAAACCCCTGCCAGTATTTTCAGTTTACCAAGTGTGCAAATTCTTCAGGGGGACAATATTAAAACCAGCTTTTCTAACTTCATTCCTTTCACATGTTGGATCTGTGAAAGTACTGGGGTGGCATCAACCTGGTTCTCAAAAATCAACTTATTGTGCCATCCCTAAAGCAATCATTGGCAGAGAAAATCTCCTCAGAGTCCATACTGCTGCTGGGAAAGGGACAGCAAGGGGGGCTGTAGGGAGGGAAATTGTCCAGGAATCCTCTCCCAGTTCTCACTGGGACAGAAGACATCCAGCTCAGCCCAGGGTACTTTGTCCTCAGCTCTGATTTTCAGGCTGTGCTTCTTTCCTGAAAGCCAGGAAAATCATTTCTCTTAAGCTTTTGCCTAAAGCTACTGGGGATAAAACCACCAAAGATAGAAACGGCTTAAAAGCAACAAAAGCTCTGAATTCTTTTGTTACAAATTGATTCCATGAAAGAATGTAACAAACAAACAACTTGACCTCTCCTTTACATAATCTGTGAAGATTCTGGATGCATTTGACATGATTTGTCATCTTCAGCCACCTGTTCCCCACCTTAGCTGGGCTCTTGCCTTTTCCACGTGAGTGTTTTGTGTAACTGTGGCTCCTTTCTTTCCTATAGTCACAGGAGGGATCACAGAGGAGCAGTTCCAGACACACCAACAGCAGTTAGTGCAGATGCAGAGGCAGCAGCTGGCCCAGCTGCAGCAGAAGCAGCAGTCTCAGCATTCCTCCCAACAGACACATCCAAAAGCACAGGTACTGCTCCCACCCTGCATGTCCTGACCCTTTTGTTCACAGGGCTGCTCATCTCTATCGACCAAATATGACACCCCAGCAAATGTGGCACATTGTAGGCACTTTGCTCAGGGCTTTTTTTAATAAGTGGGCTGCATTTTATAAGCTGAGTAAGAGACTTTGTAGCTGAATGTGTTACCTGCATCCACAGTTACCAGTGTAAAATATCAGTGTGTGCTCTCAACTCTTCCTGTTTTCACTGGTTTTGTCCTCCTGTCTGTAAGAGCTCTGAAGAGACTTTATTAAAATTACCTTCTGAGGTAATGTGTTCTGTTGTGAACAGATGTTCAGTGAGCACTAAAAATTGATACCTCTGAGAGGAAAAAGAGAGCTTTGCATATTTGCATATTCTGGCTTTTAAAAGAATTTCATTTTTCCTCTGGAATCCCTTGCAGGGGAAAATTGTTTTTCCATGCACTTAATTTTCTGTTAGCTTCTTCCCAATAAAATATAAAACCTGTTGTGAATTACTAGGAAAGTGTATATTACGTTGAGTATTTTATATCTAATTGTTTGTTCTGGTTGTCCCTTCCCCTCAGTGTTTTTCTACTTCAATTAATCAGGGATTCTGTGTTGGCAGATACTGATGACATTTTTTGTAATTGTTAAGACATGATGCCAAAATATTTGAACAAAACAAATGAATTTTGGATCTTTAAAGCACTTCGAGCTTCTGTGCAAAGTCATTTTCTTAGTTAATATAAATTGAAGGTGCAGAATTAATGTTCTTTCCAGTGAGAATGATGAATCTTTCCAGTAGAAACTGGAGTAACAGAGTGGGATTCCAGAATGTGCTGGGCAGTTATTCTGTGGCACAAGTCACAGAATGGAGGTACCACAAATACTGGACATCCCTGAGATTTTCAGCTGCAGAGCATTTGCTGCCTGGAGACAGAACAGAAAAGGTTAAGACATGGTTGTTTTCGTAGAGGAAATGTCTCCAAACACTGGGAATCCTGTGTGGTTTGGATTGGAAGGGATCTTAAAGCCCATCCAGTTCTGTGGCAGGGACACCTTCCACCATCCCAGGCTGCTCCAAGCCCTGTCCAGCCTGACCTGGTACACTCCCAGGGATCCAGGGGCAGCCACAGCCCTGTGCCAGGGACTCTCCACCCTCCCAGCCAGGAATTCCCAATTCCCAATATCCCATCCAGCCCTGCCCTCTGGCACTGGGAGCCATTCCCTGGGTCCTGTCCCTCCATCCCTTGTCCCCAGTCCCTCTCCAGCTCTCTTGGAGCCCCTTCAGGCCCTGCAAGGGGCTCTGAGCTCTCCCCAAAACCTTTCCCTCTCCAGGCTGACCAACATACAACAAAAGTGATTTGTTGTGCTGAGAACTGGCCTGGCTGCCTTGGGCAGCACTTGTTTAACCCTCGTTTGGACACTGTTTTCCAACGTCTCATCACTCAGGTGACAGAATATTCAGTGTTGTGGTGCATTAGGTCACATGTAGAAGCTGTATTTATTTATTTGCTTTGCTTGTGCACTGGAACAATGGTAAGGCATATTTCAATTTGTACTTGGGTGATTGAGAATCACCTTCTCCTCTTCTTGCAGGGCTCCAGCACCTCTGACTGTATGTCCAAAACCCTGGATTCAGCCAGTGCCCAGTTTGCTGCCTCTGCAGTGGTCAGTGCCCCGGCCCCTGGGCGCAGCGAGGGAACCAAGGAGCAGAACACCAGCCACAACAATATCAACGGTGTTGTCCAGCCTTCAGGTGAGCACTCCTTGCTCTGGAGTGAGCTGAGAGTATCAGCTGCTCTTCATTATCAACTGATCTTATTAAAATATTAGTAAATAATAACAACAAAAAAATCAAGTCTCTTAGTTGCGATCGTTTTAAATATTCTTCCCTAAAGTACCTTGCAGCAGTGGTTTGAATCATGGAATATCTTGAGTTGGAAGGGACCCACAGGGATGATCAGAATCAAACTCCTTGTCCTGTACAGGACAGCCCCAAGAATCCCACCCTGTGCCTGAGAGCTTGTCCAATAGATGTTGTTTAAATGGATAGAAAACCACCGAGTGCTCTTTACCTTGGAAGAGCATTGTTTGCTTTTCCTTTGGTAGTCTTCTAATAATCTCTTCTGATCAAGAGTCTAAATGGCAGCATTTTAAAACCAGTGGGAGTGTATAATGAAAGAATAAATTAACTGCTTAAAGCATTTACCTACTTTGAGAGGGAAATGGAAAAGTTGATTCATTATTTGGTTGTTACCTCACTTGTATGTTCAGCCAAAAATGTACTAACCAACCTTTACTGGCAGTTCTTCTGACATCACTGTAAGCCTCAGGTTTCACTGCATTTAGAATTTGTCCCAGAAGGTGCAGCCATGGGCACTCAGTGCCCCTTCCCAGCCCTCCTGTGGTGCTGCTTGTGCTGGTGCCATATCCACGATGCCAAGGGGCAAATGGGATTTGGGCTGCCAAGACAAAGAAGAGGCTTTTAAAGTAATTTGTTGTTTTAGCAGTTAATGATGTGATTAGTTTTATAGACCTTCTGCCAGGCTCGGTTAATGATAATATGAAATGAATAGAGGGAGAAAAAACACGACTGAATAAAATCAATAAACTGGAGCAGTTCCAGGGTAGAGAGAGAGAGAGAGATCTGTGTAATTCTCTGAGTTCATACCCGAGAGGGCTGTGCTTCGAGGGTGGAAGATCAGGCACATGATGATGTCTGGAACAGAGGCTGGACAAGATTAAAGAGAATTCAGTGGGTATTTATTAAAGGCCTTCAATAGATTCACCCTGGGCAGTCAGGAGCCTCCGAGGGGCTTCACCCAAAATGGACAATGGTCACGAGTTTTTCAGGTAAGTTTGGTCCATTTCCATGTCAGGGGTTAATCCTCCAATTACAGTTTCAGGTAATGAAGTCATACACCCCCAGTTTGCTCCCCCCCAGCTCACTTTGTTTATACTTTCTGGGCCCTGAGGCAGTGAGGTGTCCTTGAGTTTCAGGTCTAGAGGAATTTTGTCAGAGTGCAACAGGAGAACAGCAGCTGACAGGCCATGGTGTTTTAGAGTTGCACACTAAAGCAGTACAGGATCTGAAAAATATAAAAGCTAAATCCTAAGGCATCAAGGGGAGTGTGCCATGTTTCCACTGCTGAGTTTTTCCATTTTGTGAGTCTGTAAAGTATGGACATTAATGACTTACACACTCAAAGCATTGCTTTTGAGGTTAATCTTTGGCTTTTCATCTGAGAAATGTCACCTTTTTAACACCCACCGTTTATTCTGCGTAACAGGAACCTCCAGAACTTTGTACTCCACCAACATGGCTTTATCATCCAGCCCAGGGATCTCAACTGTACAGCTCGTAAGGACAGTTGGCCACAGCACCACAAACCACTTAATCCCAGCCTTGTGCACGAGCAGCCCTCAGCCTCTTCCCATGAACAATTCCTGCCTGCCCAGCGCGGTGCACCTCAACAACGTCAGTGTTGTGTCTCCAGTCAATGTTCATATCAATACACGGACTTCAGCGCCCTCGCCAACAGCCTTAAAACTTGCCACAGTTGCTGCCAGCATGGACAGAGTGCCAAAGGTAACTCCCAGCAGTGCCATCAGCAGTATAGCAAGGTAAGTGGGGACGGGGCTGCAGCAGCTCCCACTTGTGCTTGGAACCATGGAATTGTTTGGGTTGGAATGGCTAAAATCAGAGTCCAGGCTGTGACCCACCCTCACCTCGTCAGAGCAGAGCGCTGAGTGTAACCTCAGCAGTGCTTGGCAGCCCTTTCCATGAGGAAATCCTTCCTGATGTCCCAGCTGACCCTGCCCTGGTGCAGCTTCAGGCTGTGTCCTCTCCATTGTTGTGCCCAACTCTGCACTGGAGGGAATCTCTTCCAGCTCTGAGAGGCTTCTCAGCACCTTCAGCCTCCCAGGAGCACACTTAGCATGGCCATGGCAAAGCACAAGAGCTGATTTTGCAAATTAACCCCTCAGATAACATGCCTTGCCTTTAGGCACCAGTAGTTTTGGTCAACTTCTACTGTGTTTGAATTTTAACCATTTCATTTGTCCCTTCTCATGCAACATTTTCAGGTAGATTCTGTCAAATGCTCCTCACGTTCCCTCTAAATCATTGAGTAACAATATTGTAAGGTACAGGTTGGCACATACATTTTTATATTTACATATATATGTGTTACATATTAATGTAAAACACAAACCAAAAAAGCAACAAGCTGTATCTTACATATAAAATCATAATTCATAATTGTTTAGGTTGGAAAAGACATTTAAGTTCATCAAGTCCAACCATTAAGGTGTTTATTCTCATTGAAAGGCAGCGCTGTTATCTCAGGATGATGTTTCATAGGAGTGGCAGGAGCTTTGCAGTTGGCACATTTTTCTGAACATGGCAATATTTGGGTTTGTTTGAAGCCTCTCCTGGATTATATGGGGTTTCAAAAAACAAAGTCATGTTTGTGAATTGGAAAAGTAAAAAAATGGGTATTAGTAAATGAGGAAAAAGTAAGTGTTAAAGCAGAATGGGCAGGGAATTGCAACAACACTTGGTGCATTAACAGAGTAACTGATGCTGAGTTATCATATCTTGACTTTGTTCCTTCAGAAGAGCTTTTAGGGATGTAATCCCTAATTTAGGCTGGAAATGGATAGTTAAATGCAATAATATTGCAAAGATTCTTCTTGCAAAGAATCTTGCAAAATCTGCTTTGTTGAATAACAGCAGTTGTTGAATGCCAGTATTTCCTTCCAAATAAGTTTTGCAGTGTGTGTGTGTTAAGGTTCCTGCCTGGTCCAGGTAACATCTGTGTGAAAATATGAAAGAAATGACTAAAACCATGTGAGGAAATATGTTCTGACTGTGGGATCCTCTTCCCTTGCAGAGAGAACCATGAACCAGAGCGCCTGGGCTTGAACGGCATCGCAGAGACCACAGTGGCCATGGAAGTGACATAACCTCCAAGCAGTGTCCCCAGCTGTGTCACGGTGTGCTCCTTCCTATTCCAGCTGAATGCAAACACAGCGCTCTGTGGGTCACAGAGAACTCACACAGACCTGAATGGACTCGGATTATATCGTGTATTAAGTCGATATATAATGTAAATTTTGTAAAATTGGGAAAATCACTACCTTGTAAAATAGTTTATTTGTATCATCAATATTATTTCTGTTACTTGAATAGTAGATATTCATCATCATGCTTTTGCACTTGAATTTGCAACTGAATGGATTAAAAAATAATTCTTTAATGGGATCATGAGCATGACATGAGATCCTGCATCACTTGTTTAAACTATTTATTTTGCCATGTTTACATTTTGTATCTTGTACAAATAAATGCAACTTTGTGTCTAAAAAAAAAAGTTAAAGATTCATAGCTAGGAAACAAAATTCTTGTAATTTTTTTCTAAAGGAAATGTAAAGTTTTCACTTGGTTCATTTTGTTTCACAATTTGACTAGATGGACTTTTTGGTAAATACTTTAGTGGCATTTCACTGTCAAATATGAAGTTCAAGGCAAAATAGTATTTTCTATTACTGTGCAGGGGAAAGGGATGGATCGATACATGCAAATTTAATGTAGTAACTCACTTTTCCATATATTTTGAATGTATATTTCTATTTATAATACCAGTTTATAAAAAATAATTACACAGGAGAGGGGAAAAAAAAAAAACTGACTAGGAAAATTATGCATCTGGCACATCTCCAAATGTGCAGATCTGAGAAAATTTTCACCTTGATGCCATTTTATCCGAAGACTGCGTATTTTAACCGGCTTTCAAGCTGTACCACACCACATTAAAGGATATTTTACCAGGTATGTATTGCATTCTATATCATTGCAATAATTCATTATTGGATGTCTAGCTATCGAGCCATCCCAGGGGGGTGGGAGGGTTGTGGCAAGATTGTCTTTTCAATTTTGGAGAGTTTTCCTGTGGCTACAAGGCAAGTAACGGGTTGGAAAAAGTCTGACTGTAAGCGTTGGACACCTTCGTAGTGTAGTGTTTTAGTGACTTTTTTTATACGGTTCTTGTACATTAGATACGTGTAGTGGTGTTTCCGAATGTTTGTTTATGCACTAGTTCAGACAACTTTCCCTGTTACTTGTTCTTGATAAGTGAAAACTGCAGGGAAATAAAAATACATATCAAAAGCTGGCCATGGTGCATATGTGGTTATTTCACAGTGTGCAAGCAGGGACAGCAGCCGTTCTGGAGGCTGCTCAGGGACTCTGATCCTTTGATCCCAGCATATGCACTTATTTCCAGAAGGTTCCAGATCATGGGATAATTCTGTGCCAGGGGAGGGATGGGCTGGGATTTGAGACCTGGGAAAATGGGGAATGAGAGTTTCTTGCCCTGCCAGAGAAATGGGGTGAATTTCTGCTGTTTTGGATGTTTCTGTGTTACAAATCCCAGCATCACTGAGGTTGGAAGGAACCTGGAGATGTTGTTTAGTCCAGACCCACCCTCCCAGGAAAATCTTGCCTTTGTCATGCAGTCAGTGTATTTTCCATCTTGGCTTTCTACATAAAGAACTGTTTTTAATCCGAGCTGTGTTTAAACCTGTTTTGTCTTACGTTATACGAATTCAAAGTCCTGGCAGCTAAAAACACTTGCAGAGCTTTAAATCCTGGGAGCTCCTCACAAACTCAGGTGTCTAAAATTACCTGTTTTTTACTTAACTAACGCTCTATTTTTATTCCATCTGATGTCTGCAGGGAGAGGTGAGGATAGATTATTCCTGTTGGGAACAGAGGAACCCACGGCGCTGCCTTGGTCAGGTGAGGGGTGGTGGCAGCTTTTGGGGGGGCACCTGTGGCTTCACTGGGATTGCTGCTCCCTGAAAATTCCTCTTTATTTCATCTTTCCAGCCTTTCTTAGAGCTGGGCTCATTGCAGGGAATGGCTGATAGTCTGAAGTATAAATGATTTTTTTTTTAAAAATAAAAGAATTGTTGAAAATACATTTTCTGTAAAAGAAAAAAAAATATTCTCCTTGATATCTAGAAATAACCTTGCTTCACTACCATCCCCAAAACCCTTTGGAGGCTTAATGAAAATGGGAAGTAATTTCCTCTGCAGATTGAAAGCTGTACACTTAGCATGGACTCTCCTCACCACAAAGATCATTTTCAGTGGATCATTTTCAGGGAAAATTGGCCAGAAGATGTCTCTGAAATCGCTGTGCATCTCTGATTTCGTGTAGTCTAATCCTCATCTAATTACTTAAAAAACCTTTAGCTGGAGCTTCGAACTTTTAATGGATTCTGGGAAAATGTGAGGTGCAGAGGAGGATTCCATAAACTCCCAAGGCTTTGATGGTAAGTGCCAGATGTGGAATGGCTTTCATTTAAAGGATTAGTGGTGATGAAACCTTCTGTGAAGCAGAACTGGAATAGTCATTGCAGAATTTGGGTGCCTCAAGTGCAGGAGAAGGGGAGGAGTGGTGGGTGATGCTGCAGGCCATGGAAATCTTCATTCAAAAGGAAAAAAAAGAGAGAAAATGAGGGACTGGTGCTGTAAGATTGTCCTTTGTCCAGCTGGGAATGCCACTGACAGGTGGTTTTGTGCTGTTTAAACACGGTGAGGATACGAAGTTTAATTTGAATTCCCTTATTTGTGCACCTCTGCAGCAGGATTGGAATAGGGATTTCTGTTCTGTTGTTTATTGGGAATATCTTTCAGGTGAGATTGTGGAATCCTGGCTCATCTACAGCGATTTATGCTGGATTTTACATCATGTGCAGAGTTTTGAATGTCAGGAACTAGAAAATGCCGGTTCTTTCTCTAATAAGAAAGATCTATAAATATATAAATTAATAAGATTTACGTTTATGTGTGGATTGACTGGAGTTTTGGAGTGTGTTTGTCATCCCAAGAGGCTCCCTGGATTTGCCTGCAGAGAAACAGTTTCAAAGCTCACTTCCATGTTTTCTGTTACTCTGAGGGGTTTGCAACATTCACATTTAAATTGGAGAGACCGGGAATAACCTTGGTGAATTAAAGCAAGCAAAGTGCTGCTTGGGAAAGAAGGAAGATGAGGGAGAGGGAATTTTTTCTTGAGTAAATTGGGTGAGCTGTGAAGATCCAAGTGATTCCATCTGAGCAGAGGAACATGGAAAATAATGAATTAGTGCTGATCCAAGGAGCAAATGGTGTGGGAAACATTGGATGTGTTCCTTGCAGGACCCCAGCAGCAGCGGGGGGATGTGGAAATCCCAACTCTGCTTGGGTTGTGCCATGACAGGAGCCAAAATGTCCTTCCCTGATGCGAGAACTGAACAGAACATTTGCTTCTCAAGTGCCTTTCAGGAGGAAAAGGGAGTTTCAGGATCCATTCCCTGTTTTCTCAGTGACCTGCTTGTCTCTCTGTCACCTGTTGTATCTCTAAATGCAATCTCTGTGTTCTTTACATGGTTTTTATTGGTTTAATCTCAAAGAATTAATGAGTACACATATTTTAATATGAATTTAACTGGTTTAATCAGTATGGATTAAACTGATTTTTGAACCCAGTAACTCCAGTTCAAATAAAAATGAAAAATTAATGCAGCAGAAATAGGACTAAAATCTGTCAAGTGACATTGAATTAACCAAATAATTTTTGGAATTCCTGAATCCCAGAATGGTTTGTGTTGAAAGGGACCTTAAAGCTCACCTCTGCTACAGCCAGGGACACCTCCCACTGTCCCAGGCTGCTCCAAGCCCTGTCCAGCCTGGCCTTGGACACTTCCAGGGATCCAGGGGCAGCCACAGCTGCTCTGGGAAATCCATTCCAGGGCCTCCCCACCCTGGCAGCCTCACAAATTTCCTGAAGTTAGGATTGTTTCTACAACTAAGAATAGTAAAATCCATTTAGTCCAGCCTGCCTTCAATCTGTGGCACTCTGGTTTAACTCCAACACAAGTGCAGTTATCTGTCTCTATATGACTCTCATGGTTGGGTTCTTTCTCCCCTTGAACTGAAATTGATGAATGTGAGAATAATATTTATTTTTCCTTTTGTTTATCTCTCTTGTTCAAACTTGGTTGTTTATTCTTTTCTTATCACCATTACATGGATACAGGGTACAAGGAGCTATGTGCACTAAGAAAGGTGAAAAATGGGTAACAAAGATCTTCAAGTGTTTTATATGTCCATTTACCCTATTGACAGATACCAAGTAAATTATTTTTCTCAGTGACCCAATGACCCAACACCTGTGTGCTGCTTTGTATTCTCCATCCATTCACCTCCTACTACCCAAAAACCTCTGGAAGAAGAAAGAAGGAAAAGAGACAACACCCTAAACCTTCCATCTTGTCTTCTGTTTTCTAAACTAGCTTGAACTCTAAACTAACTTTTTCACCCAGTGACATAAGAAACTCTCTAATTTACACATTTACACTCCTAGCTTTTCTATTTAACCTTAGCAGTTGTTTTACAGGGTGTTACATGAAATTCAATGTTTTCTTGGATTCAGAGCCAGGTATCAGAGATAAGGGCACACTCTGTGCCTCAGACTCCAGCAATTACCCAGGAAGGATTGATGGAGAAAATTCCCAGCAAGGAACAAAGGGAGGAGGGAGGCAGTAACTGAGTCAGGTAACAGAATTTGGAACAGATAAACCAGCCTGAATCTGCTGGGAAGCCACAACCTCTGCCTGTCCCTGTGTCTGCTGGAAGTGGCACCAGAAGGTGGCATCAGCTGCCTGCGATGCTCCTTAACTCTTTCTGCATCTCCACGGAGCCTTTGTGGTTTGAGATTGGCTATTTTAATTTTTTTTTATTTTATTTTAATAAAAATAATTTTATTTATTTTATTTGAGGTAGTTATTTTTAGTGTTTCCCTGCCTATTCTGTATTTTTGTGGTTGCTTTTTAACTTCCTATAAGGTAAAGGCAACAGTTATTTTCTATTATTTATTTATTTGTTTATATATATATATATTTGTATATATATTTATTTATATATATATATATTTATTTTTTTACTTATTTATATATATTTTTTTCTTTTTTTTTTCTGAGTTACAGCCCTTTCATTTAGGCAGTTTATTAACCCAAATGTAAAGATGGGAATTGGGAAAAAAATGTTTTGTATACTTAACTTCCTAGAACATAAATACAACAGTTCTTTTTTATTTATTTATTTTTTTTTAAATTTTTAAATTTTTTTCCAAGTTACAACCCTTTTATTTAGGAGATTTATTAACCCAAATGTAAAGATGATAACTTGGAAAAAAAGTGTTTTGTTTACTTAACTTCTTTACTTAACTTTACTTAACGTGAAGACAACATACTTTATTTTATTTTAATTTTAATTTTATTTTAATTAAATTTTAATTTTATTTTCATTTTATTTTCATTTTATTTATTTATTTATTCTGAGTTACAACCCTTTTATTTAAGTGATTTATTAACCCAAATGTAAAGATGGTAACTTGGAAAAAAAGTGTTTTGTTTACTTAACTTCCTATAATGTAAAGACAACATACTTTATTTAAATTAAATTTAAATTAAATTTAAATTAAATTTAAATTAAATTTAAATTTTATTTTTATTTTTATTTTTATTTTATTTTTATTTTATTTTTATTTTATTTTTATTTTATTTTTATTTTATTTTTATTTTATTTTATTTTTATTTTATTTTTATTTTGTATTTTAATTTTATTTATTTATTTATTCTGAGTTACAACCCTTTTATTTAGGCGATTTTTTAAACCCAAATGTAAAGATGGTAACTGGAATAAAAAAACCAATATTTTGTGTATTCACTAACGAGCTGAAACGTTTTGCTGTTCTGTACAGTGGTAAAATCGATTTATTTATTTTGAGCAAACCCCTTTTTTTGTTGGTTTTTTTTTAACACAAAATACATGACTGTGCATAACGTGAATAATTTATACAGAGATTAAGATTTATGAGTGTACTTTCCATTTTTTTCAAGTAAGCATATATTGAAGTGTCTTGCAAATGAGAAACAATTCCTGCCAGCACATCCCAAGCATTTTCTCATGGAGTATCTTTGGAGCTTCATTTCCACATCCTGGCTTCTGTGCAGGTCTGATCCCAGAGAAATCCTGTGCTGTGTGACCCCAGGAGCTGTTTGGGCTGGGATGATCCTCCTGAGATGTCGGTGCTGCAGATCCTCTTCGTTTTGCTGTGGA